ATCTTTTGCCGCTAGAGAGCTACATTGACACTTAGTAGCTTAGGCTTTATTTATTACAAGAGTTTGTTACTTATTTCTAACAAGATGTAAGTTTATAATCTGTACATGTTACGTTAAATTGTGAACTGATCTTATATTGCATAATTAAGGTACACGAAAGGGCAAAAAGTGACATGAAAGTTAATTGAAGATTGTGTTATTTAAGTTAACTTACAAGTATTTAATAAGTTAAACATAACTGCAAATTATAAATACTTATTTTATATAGTTAGAAACAATTTCAAAGTAATGATATAGAATTTTACTGCAGCAAATTTTGAAGTTAGACTATTTAAATTTTACAAACTTAAAATAAAAGTGAAATGCATTTAATCTACTAAATAGAATATTTAAATAGTTATTCGTATAACTTGGCTTCACTCCAAGTTATTGCGGCCTGGCAAAGTCTGACAATATGCCGCTTGGGCGCTACAACACGACCACACAGAAGACTCACTGACAAATATCTTTTTTCATCACTATGTGTGCTCCAGAAATATTCTAGTCCTATTTCCCATCCCATAGTTTTCTTATAACATACTAGCTGTCACCCGCGACTTTTACTAGCTTATTACTTTTCTAGACTATGTTCTACATACATGTCAAATTTCATTAATTATAGTATTAGAAAGAAGAATGTCAAGGTATTTGATGCGAGTTTGGACGTAAAAGAAATATTTTCTTTCTATATGTCCCTTCCCCTGTTTATTAAAAGAAAGCACATCTTTCTTCTTGCTATCTATTAGTAGCTTTGTTTGTTATTTTATCGGAATCAAGTAGCCTCTTGTACGTTTGCCACCTTGTAGTGTACTATTAGTCGCCCGCGACTGTGTCTGCCCGGAATTTAAACAAAATAGTAAGTATAGCCTATTTCACATTCAGTTTAACTTCCTAACAGTGAAAGAATTGTTCAAATCGGTTCAAACAATCCCATCACTTTATATTAGTCACACGCGACTACGTTTTACTTACTGCATGTATCAGCTATCTTCCAGTCAAAGTCCTGTCATAATCGGTTCACCCCGCCCCTGTACGTACAGACATACAGACTGACAAAAAAGTAATCATTGGTTGTTCGTTATCAGCAACAAAAATCACGTGTACGGAATATTTTTTTCTCAATATTGCATACAAACACTCCAATTTTATTAATGTGTGTAGATAAAAAAATATTTGGCAATACTCCAAGCTGTTGCAGAATGATAATATTTGGCAACATCGAGAGACCAGGTGCAGCTCGGACTGCGCTTGCCAAACTGCTTTAAAGCTGCTGTAACGAGCCATATCCAGTTACAGCGGATTTATTAACTTGAACTCTCATGAAGTGAGCTTAAGTACTTTTTAAGCTATCGCACGTGCCAAGTGTAACTAAGTTTTAGTACAACATTTAAAGTTTCCAAGTTATTTTTAAAGTTATTGAGAGTTTTTAAAAGCTATTATTTTGTTGAATTCGATGTTTGTTATAAAATCTTCCAAAAAAATGTTCCAATTCTCGCTTACTGATTGAGTTATATTACATACATGTGTAAATCTCGAGACAATGCAATATTATGATCACACGGAGCTGATCTGATGATGCAGCTGGAAGGTTATACCAACTTCGTTATCCAATAAAATCTCATCGAGTTTGGGCTCGTTAGAATCGACTTGATATTTTTTTAACGTCATCAGTTTTAACGGTCATCAGTTGGTGCAGTACTCTCAAAGTTGTTCCCTAAGTCATGACTCTACGATTATTTGATAATAAATTTTAAGTTGAATTTCGAACAACAGTCGATCATTAATACGGTCAAAAAGGTCTTTTGTTTTTCGGTATTATGTGTTTATTTTGCATTGTAATAAAAAACCTTTTTACAGCCAATACATTATGTTTAATTTGAAATGAAACCTTCAGGTAGCTCGGGCGGCAGGCTTTTGTTACGTTCTATCACTCGATTACTTTCACTACAATAGGCTTTAAGGCTCTACGTTAAATGTAACTTAAATATATTACCTTTTACCTGCAGTTTATTATTCTGGGATAAAAGGTAAGAATGGAATGGAAAGGAATACTTACAATCGGAAAGTCTGTATGTAATAGAAAAAAAAAATTCGTAAACGTAATGTATTCGCGTAGCTGATTACGAAAAATGAATTGTTAAAATTCTGACTGTCTGTATGCATAGTCGCGTTTGTTTCAGACAATCTCCGAACGGTTGGGTTGATTTTGACTGAAGGTAGCTAATGCACGTGGGCAATATAGGCTATTTATTTGTTTCTGCGCGGACGAGGTCACGGGCGACCGCTAGTATGTATAAAAGTATGCAGTCGTAAACCCACAGCAACATAGTAGTATCGGCTCTTTTACGTTATATAGAGGAAGGTGTAAAAATAACTCATTTATCGATTGAAGAATTATAAATACAGTGTGACAGTTTTATCTGGACCGAGAGGGGATGTTGTCGCGATTATTTCTCTTATACAATTTGTTAAAACGAAAATATGCATAGAAAATGACAAGGTACAATATGAAAATTAACTTATGACACTTTTTGACGTCGGCAGGGATTAGTGTGCTATCAAAAATTATTTTGACTTATGCCCACCGGGTCGATGTAATCATACATACTTCAATTTTATTAATATGTATAGACTAACTGTCGCCCGCGTCTCCGTCCTCGAGAAATTGAAAGAAATTTTTAAAAGTTGCCGATATTTTCTACCAGACTATGTTTTATATCTATGACAACTTCAGCGGGATCCATACAGCCGTTCTGAAGACATCTTCCAATAAACATCCGTCTAAACTTACGCATTTTACTAATATTATAAATGCGAATTTTTGGATATATGGATGGTTGTTTTTTCGAAGGTGTCTCCAAAAAATCTGCATGGATCACGATAAAATCTGCCATAGATATAGAATGTCAAAGAATGCATAGGCTACTTATTAAGTTTTTTTTTAATACATGCGGAGGGAGTCGCAGGAGACAGCTAATTTATAATATTAGTAAGATTGACATCCTTTTCGTTTCCTAAGATAACAACATTCTACTGTAACTTTGCTTTATACATAAACAAATGACGAACTTTTTAATTAAACTTCTCTAATAAAGTGAATGTGCAAAATTAGTGGTTACATTTGTGTTGGACCTTGAAGACTTTTTATAAATAATGGGTAAGCATTTCATAGCAAAAAAACTCTCGTCCGAGACTGTCCGCCCAGAATAAAACAATTAATTAGAAGTCTACGTGCCTTTTCAGACTACTTTCTACATCTATGACAAATTTCATCGAGATGCATTATGGGTACCATCTGACAAACATCCATCCATCTATCCAAACAATCGCGTTTAACTGTAAATCTAGGTTTGTGCTTGTTGCCAGTTCTAGACAGTCGTTTGTCTGTACCCTTAGCCTACGAACGCTGAATAATATGGTGATAGCAGTCCCGAACACTGACTTGATACGCATGAACGATGCTCTTGTCGGTGCTTCAGACAGTACTAGACTTGAACCATTGAGCAGCGGATCAACAACTAAATTGGCAGATCACATCGTGATGTGAGCCGCTGCCTGGTGACTCACAGTTAGCGCCTGCTAACAACTACTATAGATTCGATGGTCTAGCTTGATAATGCTTAAAATATTTGAGAGTGCCATTGTCTGGTCTTAACTAGCATCATATTTGAATCTCTTTATCACAAACATGCGCTTTAAATGATGTGTGTTTGTATTACAGAGGAAGAGCTGGAAGAAAGCACGACCCTGCCACCGCGCTACCGGCCGGAGCCGCCGGACGCGCTCGCAAGAGCCTGCCGCTTCACCCCGCATGAGATCAAACTTATGTATCGGGGCTTTAAACAGGTTAGGCACGACAAAGCTTGGCTATAGTAAGCCTATAGTTAGCCTTCTTTATTCTACAACCATTGCTTTTAGTTAGGTGAGAAGTATCTCATGTTCTCCTGATGACTATTTTCAATATCAGTGGTAAATTTCAATAAGATGTCTTGTATGGTTGCGGAGTTTTCGCGTAAATATGTGCAAACGTATCACACTGGAAATGTACACAACTTTTTTATATCATAGGTAGTCTGTGTGTTCTTTCAGACTATGTTCTATATGTGTGTAAATTTCATCAAAATCCGTTGAGGTGTTCCGGAGATACCTTCAAAGAAACATCCATCCATCTAAACATTCGCATTTATAATATTGGTATGATTTCAACGCAGCCGTTCTAAAGATATCTTTTAAAACATTTATACAAATATTCGCTTTGATAATATTAGTAATATTATTATTTTCAGGAGTGCCCGACGGGAATGGTGGACGAGGAATCCTTCAAGAATATATTCTGTCAGTTCTTTCCACTCGGAGGTAAATAAAGTTTAAACTTCTATATCAAATGATTAATATATAGAGATACCATATAATCTTAGTGTAGGTTAACATGTTTATGAAACCTGGGAAATGTTTATTTTTCTACTTTGTACTATCATTTGCGTGACCAATAATCATGTAATTCTATTAAATAATATGTAAATTATAAGTGTGTTGTCAGATTTTTTAATGTAATAGCGCGTTATGTTATGTTGTACACAGATGCGACACAGTACGCGCACTACGTGTTCAACACGGTCAAACATAAGCAAAGGGGAAAACTTAATTTTGAGGTAAGAACTGAAAGCAATATACACACTTTGTACATTATGTACAAACATTGTACTGACTGTAAACACTTTGTACACAATGTCGTACGACCATTGTACATACTTAACAACTGTTGTAAATACACTGTACACAAATGTTGTAAACACTTTTACACATGTTGTGCATACGTTGTACAGACTGTACAATATACAGAAACTTTAACTATGACAATATTTGTCATCAGGAGTTTCTAGAGACCCTCTCCCGCGTGGCGCGTGGCTCAGTACAAGAGAAGCTATCATGGGTGTTTGCGCTGTACGACGTGGACGGCGACGGGCGCATCTCCCGCGCGGAGATGCTGGCCGTTGTGCAGGCGGTGTACGAACTGCTCGGTCGGGCTGCTGTGCCCCCAGTCAGCCAGACTTCAGCTAAAGACCATGTTGATAGGATCTTCCATGTGAGTATATGCTTATACTGATTACAAAATGTTGGGTATCCACCTCTGATGTGGACTTTTGTGGATATATTACATTCAAAAAGTACAAATAGTGTAAAGATTCAGACAATTAATTTGCCTGTAATGCAGTGTGAGTGCAGTATAGTCTTATATGTCTCAGCTGATGGACGTAGACGCGGACGGCGCGGTGACACCGGAGGAGCTGGCACGATGGTGCGCGCGCGATCCAGCACTGCTGAGCTCACTGGACACACTGGATACAGTGCTCTGACGCGCGCCGCACGACCTGCGCAGGTACATAATTCAATGCCACCATCACCCTCAACAAATAGGATTGCTGAACTATATTCTTCATTGATGAACGAAACAAGGAAGAATACATTGTATGGATGGTTGCAAACATGATTTGTGTTATGTACCAGGAATGCAGAAGCGCAGGCGTCGTGCTCCACAGTCGATGACGTCAGCGGCCCGCCCTCTCCGCCGCGCCCCACGCCGCCCCCGCCGCCTCCCCGCAACCCGCCGCCGCGCCCCGCGCACCCCCCCGCGCCCGCACTCCTCACTGCCACCGTGGGTATTTATACTGTATAGCGAGCAGGTTAATTGGTGGTTAACATCATTGCGACAGCACATTTGATGGTGGGACACAGAATTCGAAGACAACAATTTTGATAGCGCCACTTTTAGTTAGGCAATGTAAACCAATCTATCTATACTCTAATAGGGTGCATTTTTCTGATCTATCTTCCATCATGTTACCTTTCTTACTCTTACAATCCATCCATCTCTTCCTAAGCCTACCCCTACCAATGTACCCATTCCCAACAATGGTAACAGTGGTAGACGCCAGCAACTCGTCCCCTGCGATACCACGATCACACAGAAGACACGCCTCAACTGGAAGCAATTCCAACTACAATCAGATGAATGTGCGTTGTGGAGGCCTAATTTACTCCTCTGTACTTCCTCACCCTTTTCTTTCAAGGGTAAGATGGAATGGGGAAGTGGATTTGACTGAGGTCAGGACGTATTGTAAGGAGAATTACGTTGAAATAACTGAGCCAGCGATATGTTTATGTATAAAAATCAGTGCAAATATATTTCCAGATGACGGAGGAGGTTGCTCCTCGGAAGGCAAAGCGACGCGGACGTCACACTTCTACCACTCACAAGACGCGGTGAAGGAAATTAAACCTTAGTAGTGTACACGTAGGGATCAAGTCTCTGTCTACATCTCGCTCAAAATATCTTATAATTACGATTTAAAATTAACAAGTAGCAAGTAATACGAAAGAATGCAATAATTATAATGAAAACATGTGCCAAGTTAACAATAGAATAAATAAAAAAAAAATCTTCGTCTATCTACTAATTGATTTATTTATTCAATTAATAAAATTGTATTAGGGGATAAAGTCAGCAGAGGAACTGTTTCGCCTTGCGCTTGACAGAACTAAATATTCCAAGATAGCGGCCAACCTTCAAGACTGAAGAGGCACTAGAAGAAGAAGAATAAAATATTAAATATCGCGCACATAATTTGCATTTCTTCTGGCGACATTTAGTACTTTCTCATGTCAAAGTTCTGCAACAAACAAAGCTTTTGTGTACAAGAATTTGAAAGCTCAATCAGCTTAAAAAGCAATAAACATAATTATAAAACATTTCGTGAATTATTAGTGTTTTTTTTTAATTTTAATAATCAAAATGTTACAATAATAACAAGTATAAGCTTATTTTGTTTTTGATGTTTCAAAAATCTAAACTTTATAGTTTAAGAGATATTACTAAAGTGTACTTAATGTTTAATATTTTAAAGGATATATTAGGTGCGCAACTAAGTTCTCGCTGTTCTAATAAGTAATCTCTGTAGAAATCTCTTCTCTTCTCTATCTAATCTACTGTTCACTATTTCTATTTAAATTATAATAAATGCATGTTTAATAAATACAATTAAAACGAAACGAATAACCTTATCTGTGCAAAAAGGATTCATTTTCTTTGAACGTAGTTGTTAAAAAAATAAAGCCGGTTACACACTTTTGATATCAACTGAACAGTACGATTGTTCTGTTAAAACTGAAGTGTGTAGCTGGCTTTATCTATATCATTGTAAAGTATTTAAAGATTAATTCCACTAATTGTTTGAAAAAATCTTTGTGCCTATTAAATTTAAGCCCTTTCAAGTTTTTATAATAGGGTTGTCACCTTATTATTTAGAAATCAAAATTTGTTTTAAAAGAAATGAGAATATATTCTTTTAATCTAATATTTCGTTAGTGATTGCTGGTGACAACCCTAATCTGTGCTTGTGAGTACATCTCGTGCTAGAGCTTGGCTAATCTGGGTCCATGTGGGGCCAGCGTGAGGCGGTGCGGTCCTTCGGGTCCACCTTCGACATGTTGTTCGTAATAAATACTCTATTTACTATTAAATATTTATCAATAAACAATTCTTCTTCTATTTCAAGTTAAATTTGTATTTTATTTACGAGTACCTTTACTTCAATAATTCTTTGAAATATTCATCCACTAGCTGTCACCGGCAACTCCGTTCGTGTGCAATCAAAATAAAACTTAGTATCCTATGTGTTCTTCCAAACTTTTTTTATATGTGCCAAATTTAATCAAGATCCGTCCAGACGTTCCGGAGATACCTTAAAACAAATATCCAGCCAAACATTCACATCTCTATATATATAAAAGAAAGTGGTGTTAGTTACACTATTTATAACTCAAGAACGGCTTTACCGATATGGCTGAAAATTGGTGAGGAGGTAGCTTAGAGCCAGGAGACGGATATAGCATACTATTTATTCTTTTTTCTTCGAATTTATGCCTTGAAGAGCTGCTTTTTATTTAACTTACTAATATAATAAATGCGAATGTTTAGATGGATGTGATGTGGACGGATGGATGGGTGTTTGAAGATATCTCTAAAACGGCTGAACGGATCTCGATTAAATTTGGCATACGTATAAAACGTAGTCTACACTAATTAAGTTTTTTTATACATCCACGAGGACGGAGTCGCGGGCGACAACTAGTTTATAATATTAGTAAGATTTTCTAATTCTTTTTCAAACGTTCATATTTATTTCGCCGTTGTAAAGTTAGTAACATCCAAACTTCTCCATTTATAGCATTGGACAGTTTGAATTAGGAATCGTCACTAAGTTTATGTAAGTCCGCAGTGTCAGTGGTCGCTGTGGGGCTCCATTTCAGTTATAATTAACGTCGCTCGCTCGATGTACACTTCGTTGCACAATTTTAATTGGATTGATTTTTATGCAACAGCTGCTAGCAGCTAGCTCTACTATTACTGTGCAATTACTGCCACTATTGTTTATGATATTACTAGTTTAGGCCCGCGGTTATGTCTGCGTTGAAACAAAAACATAAGTCTATGGTATGTGTTCTTCCAGACCATGTTCTTTATGTATGACAAATTTTATCGAGATTCAGTCAGCCGTTTTGGATATACATATGTAAATATTCGTATTTATAATACTAGTAAGATTTATGGTCATTTTGTGCTTTTTCAACTAGATTTGTTTTCTAAGATTATTATTTTTTGATTATTTAAAGAAGCGGAACAAAAAATGCATTAGTAGCCTATATGTTCTTCTAATATGTTCTACATCTATGACAAATTTCATAGAGATCCATTCAGTCGTTCTGGAGATATCTTCAAACAAACATACATCTAAACATTCGCATTTATATAATAATATTAATAAGATATACGGTTAAATGGATATATTTTAGCAGCTTCTGTATAAATATTACTGTTTGGAAAATCAAATAGACTGTTTAATAGTCTTGGAAACATTTATAATTTCTCTACCAAAATAGACAAAGATAAAAACAATTTTTTTATTAATTTAATCATTTAATTATGAAACCCCTAAACCTTTACTATTTAAATGTGTCCTTAGAAATATTACAAATGGCAACCCTAAAGTAATATCAAAGTGACAATTTAAAAAGTTATTTTACAAAACATGCAATAGGTAAATAGATAAAAGTCAGATATAATAAAGTTGTAGTACCAGTAGGGCTACTACATGTGCGACTGTATCCAGGGGATGAAGGTGGTGACACGCGTGAAGCCCGCCGGCAGTCCATCCTGACAGCCGCGACCAGATATAAAAGAGGACACGCCCACCTGCAACATTTAATAGTTGTAAAGTCCGACATCTGAGTAGTTTCAGTCCCGATAATTCTTCTCCAAGGTGTCCAGGTGTCCAAGATTAATTTAATCATATTTCCCTTCCCACACTTCTTATAAGGAAATTATGGGAAGTGGAAGTGGAAGGGAATGGAAAATGTCTTGCGGGAGGTCTGCCCATCATCGGTTGTTCGTTCAGCGAGCAATGTGACAGGTTCATCGCCACTTCACTTTCGGAATACTTTGCGCAATGTCGTTTATATTTGTTCTGTTGCGGATCCCATTATCTCTGATGTGATCTGGCAAAGAGACTCCGAGTATTGCTCTTCCATCGCCCTTTTAGTTACTTTAAGCTGTCTTATGCTGCCATCGATTTCTAATTAGTGATTCACGAAAGATCTAATTAGTTAGAAAGGTCCCTTTTGTGATGGTTATCAGTTCTAAATTATACTTTCGACTCTCACCAGGACATGCTTTTTCTCATGTGTGATGACGAGTGGTCCCCCGGAATCCCCGAAGCAGATGCTCTTGCCCCCTGCGCCGCTTGTGCACATTTGGGAATTCTTGATGTAGAAAGTTCGTCCGCACACCTCGTTGCTGATCACCTTCAAGGTCACGTGGTTCAGGAACTGGTCGTTTGTCACGCGACCGCCTACAGGTACAAAACAATAGTCGTGTTGTTACATTAAAAAAATACTAACAAATTAACATTACCCTTTTTGTTATGTACTGACCGTCCTTGGTGAGTCCAAAGCCAATGGCCTGCGCGGCGCGCCCCGCCATGTCGCGCTTAAGTAGCGCCCCGGAAGGCAATCTGACGGGGGCCACGTTAGCTGCAAGGTACCACAACACGCGCTATCACATAAACGAGCAAGCGAATCACTTGGTGCGATCTAGTAACTCATGACCATCTTTGCATGAAATTATATTTATCTACGTAATATTACGTAGTCGTGGCTACGTAATATTAGGAAGTGGACGGGGATTAGGTCGGCGGAGGAACTGTTTCGCCTTGCACTGTACAGAACCAAATATTCCAAGTTAGCGGCCAACCTTCAAGGCTGAAGAGGCACTAGAAGAAGAAGAATGTTTATCTTACTAATGGCAAACTCTTGAGCATCAAGATGACGTGTCTTCTTTTATGTCAACATATACTTGAGTTGAGAAAATCTATTGATATATTTTGAAGGTCAACGATTGTTCACTGTTTGTTATCCCTTTCATTATCATTGAAAATAACAGAGATGGCAACAATATTCTTTACAGAAATTGAACTTACCACTGAAAGTCACAGTGGGAAGCATTAGCAGGGCAATATCGTTGATCAACGTGCGCCTATTGTAATCCTTGTGTCGGAGCGCCTCATTAGTGGTGACTCTGGTGCCGCCACGGAATATCTTGGTGGAACCGAATACCGCGGTGAATGTGCGCCCGCGGTCCTGGCCATCCCACACGCAATGCGCCGCGGTCACCGCACGCGTCGAACTCAATAATGAACAAGTGCACATCGACGTAGGGCCTGATTCAAGTTGGATCAGTAGACCACCCTTGATACGAGAAGAGGCTTTAGTAAACAACGTGAGTACTATCTTGGAACGCTAACGTTAACAAAGTCACTCTGGTTCGTTTAAAAGTATATCCATCTTACTAATATTATAAATGCGAATGTTTAGATGGATGGATGTTTGTTTGAAGGTAACTACAGAACAGCTGAACGGCGAGACCGATGAACTTTTTTATCTTGGGAAGGGGGGGTGGCTGAAAACTAGCTCGACACTGCAATCTGACCGGTGTTGGTAAAGCTGAGCCACCCCCTTTTGCCATCACTGTTTCTGAATAACAGCGTGTTGTATAACTTGGTTAAGTTTCTTTTAATGGAAATAAAGTTTATTATTATTATTATCTCGATGAATTTGTCATAGACATAGAACATAGTCTGGAAGAACACATATGCCTAATTAGATTTTTATTCCAAGCGGACGAAGTCGCGTGAGACATCTAGTAGCATTAAATTAAGTCATTGGAACTATATTTGCTTGACCATGGGATTTTAAATAAACATGTTTATTGCGCCAATAGTCTATTGGTTTAGGGCATATATGATCTTGTCGTATATTCGAATCTAACCATTCAACTAATGTTAATCATAAAAAATCGACTTTTAGGGTTGTTATCAAGAATGTAATGTTGAGGAAGTTGTGTTCTTATTTAAAGTATATTACCACAAAGGGGAATGCTCCGAGCGGTGTGCGGGAACCATTCGTTATTCTATTTGTGTTATTTCTGCCAGCGAATTCAGCATTACGCATCGCCTCCGCCATCGGTATGCCCACGCGCTGATGGTAGTACTGTCCAACCTGCTCTGTGGACAGCAACCCAGCGTCACCTAGGTCGGCACTAAGTGATCTGCCTAGCAGCAACAGGTGTAACAGCCAAAACATGACGTCACGCTGTCAACAAATATCAAAGTTAGTGACCAGATATCAGTAAACACCCTACTACCCTAAGCACTCGCAAATATACCGTCACATTTCTTCGCAGACATGTGCAGGTCACACCACAATGTTTTCCTTCATGGATAAATAATAACTTTGGTAATTGTAAATACATATGTATGTAGTTCCGTTTTAGCGAATTTAACTAACATTATAAGTGCGAATGTATCGATGCATGTTTGTTAGGGAGTTATCTCCAAGACACCTGCATGGATGTCGCTGTGACATAGTCTGGAAGAACACATAGGCTACTAATTAAGTTTTTTCAATTCCACGAGGACGTAATCCGGAGCGACGGTTAGTTTGAGATAATTGTGTGGTCACTAAAATAAACAAAGATAGACCGATGTCAATTTTAATGTGCGGCGAATTTTCATCTTTGCAAAGCACAAATAAAAAAAATCAAGAGCACTGCCTCCATTCCCTCCACCCTTTGCCCCCGCGCTGTGGGCAGACAGGTCGGCACTGTGGTAGTTCACTTTTTGATTAAAAAACCACTTCGCAAAGCTCGGTATAATTTCGGCAACAGACGAGTGTGACTTTGTGTTCTTTTATCCCGGTATGTGACCTAATAATGCTAGATTGGGACACGAATAAAATGAAAATGACATTCCATTAATTTAAATTAATGAAATACTAGCAGTCACCCGCGACTCCGTCCGCGCGGAATTAATAAAACCTAATTACACCTTTGCCAAATGTCATCGAGATTTATGCAGCCGTTCTGGAGATACCATCAAACAAACATATCTCCATTCATCCAAACATTCGCATTTATAATATTAGTAAGGTTATGTTCACTGCAAATCATCGTCGTCAGCCACATGAAATGGCGTTGTTTACTCAAGTTTAGGCCTAGTGTGAGAAACAGGACTTAAGAAAGACATGTAAAATGTACTATAGTTAAGCATTTAGATTTTTCAACTGATAAGTTTTAAGATAAGGGAACAAATTACCGATATTCCAAAATCTAAAAAACTCTAAAAATTGTCGTTCCAAAAAAGCCTTTACGAAATTGTTAACAGTTGTAATGCAAGATGGTTGTCGTGTGTTTCTTTTTTAGACACATTATGACACAAGTAGAGCGTGTGTTAGGAGACGACGTGTTGCTTTGAACAACGCTATTGTTTCTGTAACGTAACGAATAATTAAGAATGTTCATTGAATTTCATTTACAAATTAGCTAAATTAAATATGAATGAAGTGACCGAAATTTCTATTTCATTTGCAATTCTTTTATAAATTTGACTAATATAAATGCGAATGTTTAGATGGATCTTTGTTTGAAGGTATCTCTATCAGCTATCAGAACAGCTGAACGGATCTCGATGAAATTTGTCATACATATAGAACATAGTCTGGAAGAACACATAGACTACTAATTATGTTATTTTTTAATTTGTTGATGTCAGAATTCCTGCAGCTGTTCTGATGATATCTTCAAACAACCATCCATGTATCTAAACATTCACATTTATATTAGTAAGAAGTATGATAAAATCTGCTCTGCTCTGTGCCCAGGTCTGTGTGAACGGCCCATGACAGTTCTCTACTCGTGTGAATGAGTTCCCGCGGGCCGTCTCGTGTTTTGCATACTTTGTGTATTCATCAAATTTTCATTATGCATTCGGAAAAGTTCGCGGACAGAATTAATTAGAATTTTTATAAGGAATATTAAAAAATTTAAATAACTACGGAGAGTTTGAATTTGACCCCTTGCAGCATAAATTTTAAATGAGGTGTGAAAAAAGGAAACGGAAATATTAAAGCAATAAAAATTAATCTACATCGCATCATCATCATCAGCTCACTATACGTCCCCACCGAGGGGCTCGGAGCCTACCCTAAGTTAATGGTGAAACCTACATCGCATAAGAAAATAATATTATAATTATGCCGTATATGATCCTTTAGTACTTTGTTGTCCGTCTGTCTGTCTGTCTGTCAAGGTACGTTTTCTCAGGAACGCGTTAAGTTATTAAGCTGGAATTTATATCAAATACTCAAGTCTACTATCTCTTAGTTCTGTGTAAAAATCAAACTTCCAAACAAACACAATCATAAGATACAGCCGTTTATGCCGCAAATCGATACCCGCAAGGGAATTAAACCCAACAGGGTACTTCCCCTGAATTCAGAATTTTGACATTTAGTATGAAGTAACATCTTATATGACAGGTAAAGGAAAAATTGCCAAAGCTATAAATTTTTCTTATAAACTAATTGGTTTGTACGAAACATTTAGTGCGCGAGTGCGACTCGCACTTGGCTGGTTTTTTTTTTTCAGTGAGAATCAAAAGTGACTTACCTAAAATAATGTTAGGCTAAAAATACACTGGTACAAGATCGATTCGACCCCTTCATCTATCTTCTATGAACTAATTCACATGTAGGTCTTCGGAGAATATAAAACCTAAGAATATAAAGAATCTTGTTAAGGTGTTACCACATTATTAGTAATAATCTATATCTTACTTTTATTATAAATGCAAATGTTTGGAGAGATGAAAGTTTGCTTGAAGCCATCTCCAAAACGGCTGAACGGATCTCGCTGAAATTTGTCATAGATATAAAACATAGCCTGGAAGAACACATAAGCTACTCATTATATTTTTTTAATTCCGCGCGGACGGAGTCGCGGGTGACAGCTAGTTATTACTATAAAGAAAAAAAGTTTGTAACTTTGGTTGCTTTAAATAGACCCCGATATTCTATAATTGTTGGAAAGTTACACAATCTATATTTGTTAATAGATTTATTTTATTCCGCATAGACGAAGTCACGGGCAACTGTTAGTTTTTTCACAGTCGTCTATGCGGATTAAAAAACAAATTTATTGTGTATCGCATGTATGCCTTCAGGATATGTTCTACATCTACATATGTCAAATTTCATCAAGATCCATCTTACTTACCTTTAATATATCTAACAGCCGAATCTAAGCATATAAAAATCAATTGATGTTCGTTAGTCTCGCTAAAACTCGAGAACTGCTGAACGGATTTATCTTATCTTTGTCTTGAAGTGTTCGTGGAGATCTAAGGAAGGTTTAAAGGTGAGAAAAATTGTAACAATTGCCGGATATTAATTTTTATTCAACGCAGACGGAGTCACTGGCGAAAGTTAGATAAAAATCATCCCTCTAGTGTGGATGTATGTTATTGATGTACAATATAAGAAAGTGACGCGCGTCACATTGTCACTTTTGTGTGGAACTGTTCAGGTAGTGACGCGTGTTCTATTGTAACACTTTCGAACGCGAGTGTAACGCGTGACAATCTGCACGCTGCGCTATTGTACAGACTTTACGTTTAACACGTTTATCTAGACACGTAGTGCTTCCACCAAGTCGAACAAAAAAGCAGCGCGGTCGTACTATCCTTTTCTCAACTAGAACTAGAAGAGTTAATTTTCAGTAACCAAGCAAGCATTTTATAAACATTGTATATTTCGTTTCTATACTTTAATACTGTTGTTTTAGAATTATAATTAAGTAAAGTTAGTTTTAAAAATGTTTTAGGGTTGTTTTGATTTTTTGAAGATTTTTTTACTTAAAAAATTTCCTTAAATTTTACTTCTTATATATAGAAGAAAGTCGTGTTGCACACTATTTATAACTCAAGAACGGCTTTACCGATATGCCTGAAAATTGGTGAGGAGGTAGCTTAGAGCCAGGAGACGGACATAGGATACTATTTATTCTTTTTTTTTCGAATTTATGCCTTGAAGAGCTGCTTTTTATTTAACTTACTAATATTATAAATGCGAATGTTTAGATGGATGTGATGTGGATGGATGGATGGGTGGGCTACACTAAATAAGTTTTTTATATATCCACGCGGACGACGTCGCGGGCGACAGCTAGTAATACTATTAATACGAATTTTTATATCTATGAGTTTTTGTATTATATTTTTATATATACGAGGTATCTCGAGAACGGTTTTATGAATCTCGCTAAAATTTGGTATAGATGTAGAACATAGTCTGGAAGAACTCATAGGTTAGGTCACGATCGACAGCTAGTAGCACGCGACGTATGAAGAAAGGGAAGATTGAAATAAAATTCATTTGTATACTTTAACCAAATATTTTTTTATTGTTTCACATCACCGATGTACAGTAATGTTTACATTTGCTATAATATATCATAAATTCCAATCAGATTATATGATTATTTATTTATTAAATAGGAAAGTCAAATTGTATGTTTTTTGTGAATCATGCCAACGATGTTTTCTACATTTGTCGTGATTTCTATCGCCATCTTTACCATTAGATTCAATTTCAGTGACAACTAAATTGTTATCATTAGCTTTTGTTACTTTTAAAGTAACATTTGATTCATTATTTAAAGGGATATCATTTGTCATAAACTCATGTTCATTATTATCTTTAATTATATTTAAATCATTATGTTTTACAGATAGATTTATTAAGTTTTCCTGATCATCGTTCTGTGTGGCATCGGCTTGTTTGTTTATATCTAAAGATATAGTTTCTTGTGTCAAATCTTTGTTTAAAGTATTGTTGCTATTTGCTAATTCTTCTTCAAATATATCAATTGACGATGGATTCAATGACTTTAGATCGTCTGAATTTTTGTCTACAATTTGTAAAGATTTTTGCAATATAGTATTTCCGTTTGATTCATCTTTAATTTCTAAATTATCAAACACTTCCTCCTTACTTTGAAAAGTAAGATCAATGTACGGAGAACGATTATTTTTATTTAATTCTTTTGATAAATTCACATCATCAATAGATAAGTCATCAAGATTTTCGAAATTAGCGTCTGAATTATCTTTCTCAAGTATCTGTTTTATATTTGGCACAGAATCATCATCGACATCACTCATTACGTTTGCTTGAAAATCTCTATCTAATAAGGTTTCTTTTGAATTTTCTTTTACATTTTGTTTAGAATCAATAGATGTTATTTTATCTTTGTTATGTTTGAGATATTTGTTATCTTTGTTTGGTAGTTTGGTAATTTCTGGTAGATTTGTTACAAATATTGCCAGCGGCGCTATTGTTTTTTTATTTTTATCGAACCAATGCAAAGGATCATTTCCTTGCCATTCATTTTTACTTATATTCTTATTATATGGTTCTATCGTTAGCTTTGCTAGTCTTTTCTGATGTTCGCTGCTGATTTCTGATGATGATCGCTCTAGTAATTGTTTTAATATACTTGTTATATCTCTGTCGCGTTGCTTGAGTTGTGCGTGATCTGTCACGCCGGTGTCGTCGTCTAGCGCTTGTTGCAATTTATTGACGGCTCGACAAGAATATGAGTTGACATGGTGCAGTATGATGACACTCAACACTGCGGAAGTAATGTGCATAAGTTTTACAACACGACTCGCAGCGGTAACTCGAATGAATTTGGCTCGGTCCGGGAATTATTTTCTTCATCCCACGCATGCTCGTCGATTTTAGATGCACTTAAAAACCTTTGTTATCTCATCAATATTCTTACTAATATTATAAATGCTAACCTTTGGATAGATGTCTGCAATATTATATTTCCAAAACAGGTGCATGGATCTCGCTAAAATTTGCCATAGAACATATAGACTTTCAATTATTTTTTTTTATCGTCGCGAGGACGGAGTCACGGACAAAACTAGTACATATTTTTAGGAATTTAAAAAATATACTTAGTGAGTATCCTATGTGTTCTTCAGCGAGATCCGTTGAGCCATTTGTATTTATAATATTAGTAATATAAACTAGCAGTTGCCCGTGACTTTGTCAGAGCTTCCCGTCATACACACAAACACATACACACACTTTGTCCATCCACCCAGACCTTTACCCATGTTAATCAGGGGCGGGACGGTCGTATTGTTAAGATAACGTAACTCACCGAGTATGTTTTGCATGTTGCGAGTGTGGCGGCTGATATGTCGCTGCTACTTTATACCGACAACTGCATTAATTAACTACTGATTAAGTTAATGAAGTAGTTAATTTAACCATAGCGCAGTTAACGACTTGTCGATTGATTAATCTGGGCTTCAAGATAACCCATCAGAAATATATTTGATATACTTAAATAATCATCTTTATAGTTTTTTTAGGGTTCCGAACCTCATAGAAAAAAACGGAAGCCTAATAATAGGATCACATTATTGTCCGTCCGTGTGTCTGTCAAGGCCCTTTACCTGTACCTGTACCTGGACCTGTACCTGTACCGATGGATTTCGATTTCGATTTCGATTTCGCTCTCAATGCGAAATGCGCCACCGACGCTCTTCAATGATGTTTCA